TTGTGGTTCCATACAAATTTTAGGATTGTTTGTTCTAGTTCTGTGAAAAATGCTGTTGGTATTTTGATAGGGATTGAATTAAATATGTAGATTGCTTTGGGTAGTATAGACATTTTAGTAATACTTGTTCTTCCAATCCATGAGCATGGAATGTCTTTCCATTTCTTTGTGTCATCTTCAATTTATTTCATCAATGTTTTACAGTTTTCAGAATACAGGTCTTTCACCTCTTTGGTTAAGTTTATTCCTAGGTATTTTAATTATTTTTGGTGCAATTGTAAATGGGATTGATTCCTTAATTCCTCTTTCTGCTGCTTATTAGTGTACAAAAATGCAATAGATTTCTGTATATTGATTTTGTATCCTGAGAGCTTACTGGATTCACTTATGAGTTCGAGCAGTTTCTTGGTGGAGTCTTTAGGGTTTTCTATATGTAGTATTATGTGACCTGGAAATGCTGAAAGTTTGACTTCTTCCTTACCAGTTTGGATGATTTTTATTTCTTTTTATTGCATGACTGCTATGTTGAATAAAAGTGGTGAGAGTGGACATCCTTGCCTTGTTCCTGACCTTAGGGGAAAGCTCTCAGTTTTTCACCAATGAGTATGACGTTAGCTGTGGGTTTTCCATATATGGCCTTTATTGTGTTCAGGTATGTTTCCTCTAAACCCACTTTGTTGAGAATCTTTATCATGAATGTTTGTATGGAGTATGAGTTTTTTTAAATATCAGCTGAATTTAAGTTTCAGTTTGTATGAGACATTCCATTCCCTACCCCAAGAAGGTCTATGGTCTAAGTATCTATCATGAATAAATGAAATAGTTCTTTTCCCAGTTTACATAGAAATAATGGACTTCACTGTAGAAATAATAAATTTTGCAGTAAAAAGTTTTTACTTTCCTCTTCCTAAGAAATATTTTCTCACACAATTAAATACCACCTCTAAAAGTTATGAGTATATTAATAAAGAGCATTAACTTACTCATTTCACTATTTCAAAAATAAGAAATAAGCTGCCTACAGGGAAAAGAAAACCCAATTATCCCATTTGACTGAGAGGGAAAAGAAAACCCAATTATCACCAATACTTATGACCACACTATAAAACAGATCTTTTAAACAGATGTTCCTAAATACCTAGTTCCTCAATATTTGACCAACTAGCTCTAATTCCGTAAAACAAATGAAGGACATCTACTAATACTGTTACATCAAAATAATGAAGATGAAGTTAGTGTTTGGCTATGCCTAAAAAATTGTTAGTGACTGACAATGCAGGTAGGTACTTGAGACACCAAAGTAATGAAGAGTTATTAGTTCATTCGTGAGTTATTATTCCTGTGGCATTAATTTGTGAAAAAGGACTAGCCAACACAGGGATTTTGACAGGGTAGGCCAGCCAAGAAAGGCCAGATTATCAAAATCTATGAGACTCTGCCAAGTTACCCATCCACTTCTGAATGGCTGGGGTGCTCTCAAAGTGGCCAAAACGTGCACAAACAGCCAAGCGAAGGCACCAGCTGTGCCAGTGTTCAAACCACGACAACAGCAACATAGACCACAAGGGCCAATTTGCTAGGGGAACACTTTTAAAAAGGCATTTACCTTGACAGAAAGTGTTAAATAAGCACCTCTTCACCAATGAAAGAGATGAAGACAGTGTCACTTCTTATCTTCCATTACAGCTTTAGCTATGACTGTCTTACTTTTTTAAAGATTTTTTTTAATTTATTTAATTGACAGAGAGAGAGACAGAGAGAGAGGGAACACAAGCAGGGGGAGTGGGGGAGGGAGAAGCAGGCTTCCCGCCGAGCAGGGAGCCCGATGCGGGGCTCGATCCCAGGACCCTGGGACCATGACCTGAGCCGAAGGCAGTCGCTTAACCAACTGAACCACCCAGGCGCTCCTCTATGACTGTCTTATAAACTCCTCTGGAGAGAAGCACTTTCTGGTGGTCTCACAGTGATGGGGGGAAAAAAAAAATATATATATATATATATATATAAAATACAGGCTTCTGATAGTAAGAGTACATCAAACCTGGTATAAAATAAGCTTTATTTAAGAGATTCTGCTGCATTAGGAGACAGGTCTGGGGAATGTGAGCACTTGTGATCTCCTGGGATCTCCCGATTGTGATGGGGCTTCATTTCCTTCTAAATGGTTATCTGCAGGAGATACCCTATATGCTTTTGTTTTGAAATCTCTTCTTTAGGGGCGCCTGGGTGGCTCAGTCGTTAAGCGTCTGCCTGCAGCTCAGGTCATGATCCCAGGGTCCTGGGATCGAGCCCCACATCGGGCTCCCTGCTCTGCAGGAAGCCTGCTTTCCCTCTGCCACTCCCCCTGCTTGTGTTTCCTCTCTCGCTGTGTCTCTCTCTGTCAAATAAATAAATAAAATCTTAAAAAAAAAAGAAATCTCTTTAGTTTTCACTGTATGTTAACTAATTTGAATTAAAAAAATAAACCAAAAAACTCTTCTTTAGTTTTCATCTTTCCTAAAAAGAAAAATAGAAGACTATTCCTATTGTGGTTATTCCATTTACAACGTGTTTTACAAAGATAAGAACTGTGAAAAACTGTAAAAATTTCAAAGGGCAATTGTAATATGTAATAATTTCCTGAGATGTGCATAGTTCCAGTGAGTATTAAAGTTTACTCAGAGTAAGTTTTAACAAAATACTTTCATTTCCTTTTTTTAAATCACAGAAATGTATAGACTGAGGTACAACAAGGCAGCTGACAAGCCATCCCACAACATTCTCAAGAAGTGTACAGAGAAATATGGACGGACCAACAGAGTAAAGGGTCAGTGATGCACTGGATGGATATTTCCAGTAGAAGGACACAGAACTCTTCTATTAATGTTTTCACACATTAAACCAAGAAATCCAAACTGAAGAGAGGTTTAGCTTCCAAAAGTACAGACTTTTCTCATGCTCTTCCTCTGAGAACAAAAAGAGAAGTTGTGAGAAAGAAAACAAAACATCTATAGGAAGACACTGGAGAACTACTATGGCAGCAAGAACTTGTGCTAAAAACCCAAAAGGTAAGGAAAGCCCATAGTCAGGATCCAGACTTGGTGTTGTTTTTCCTTTGGAGGCATTCGAGTGTACAACAGAGAAGCTGACAAGTTGGGAGAACACAGTGACTGAAGCCGGAGGTACAGAGAGCTAGCTACTGGTGGTCTCACAGAGCTGAGAGGTTCAGGGGAGAGATTTGGAGCTTGGCTTCCATTGAGCAGGAATGGAATATCCCCATAAAATATCCCCAAAGTTCAGGTGGGATTTTGAAGAGCTCTGCCGTAAGAGAAAGGGTGAAGTGGAAAGAGACCAACTCTTTGAAAAGGAATGAAGCCCAGATTGCAGATACCTTGGACCATGACTGAATTACAATTACCTGCCCCTGGCCTAAATGCCCATTAAGAAGCAACACTAAATCCTCTCTGAAGGATGACAAGATCATCCCAAACCTCAAATTATCCTTATACTTCTTCGTACATAACATATGGCTCTTAATAAAAAAGTAATCAGCTCTAAGAAGCGTGACCAAATAGTGACCAAAAGTCATGAGGAAAAAAACAGACCAAATCGAAGAATTCAACATATAGGAAATCTACACACGGCATTAATAAAGACATGGAATTTAAAGGTAACTGTGATTATTTTGTTCAAAAAAATTACATATCCATGTGCAGAATTTGGGCAAGTAAGTAGAAATAAAAAATAATCCAATAGAAATTTTAGAACTGAGAAATACACAGTAGGGAATTAAGCTGGAATCAGTTAAAAAAAAAAAAGATAAGAAAATCCCCAACTGTTTAAAAATTAATACCCTCATATGAGAAACCATAGAGAGAAAATATTTTGAACTGAGAGTAAAAATACAAAATTCAAAACCTGTGGGGTGAAGGCAAAAGCCATGTGTAGAAAGTCATGTCGGCTTAAAGGGCAGATATCAGCAAGTCAGAGACCCGAAGCCCTCTGTCAGCCCCTGCTAACATTGAAGCTTGTCTATTTTCCGATGCGGCAATTCCACTCCTGGTTTCATAACAAACAAAAATGTGTGCCTATGTGCACCAAAAGATACGTATCATAGAAATGTATATTAAGACATACTTTTTAATGACTAGAAATTGGAATAAACTCTAATGTAGAATAAACTCTAATAAAGAATTTACGGTACGTACACAAAGTGGAATGCTTGCTGCAGTAAAGGCTAATGTGGACGAATCTCGAAGTGTTGTTCAAAAGAAGCCATGAAAGAATACATACGGCAGCACATATTGAATTTTACCAAAATTCAAAGGAAGCAAGTAAGAAATTCACCTACAGTGTTGCTGAGGCCAGTATTACCTTTAGGGAGAAGGACAGTGACGATGCAGGGTAAGTCTGGAGTCATGGTAAGAATCTATTTCATGACTGAGATACTGGCTGCATGAATGTATTTACTTGACGAACAGTCTTTAAGACTCCAAGAATCAAGGATAAAGCAGCTCTGGTTTTAGCAGCAGTGTGGTCAAAAAGATTTAGGGTAAAGATCAGGAAACAATCCATGAGGAAGTGTGAAGAACTAGTAAAGTTTTACCCTCGAGAAGGAATGACTTGGGAACACGATTTGTGGGCGCTACACCAAACCCTGGAAGACACATTTTAGCATGATAAGGTTAAGTTCCCGCGACTCGAACGTTGATTTAATACACTAAATATACTAAGTATTTTGTAAATGTCATATTAATATTACGAGGTATATATAATACATTTAACCTACTGCAGATAACAGAACTGCCGAGTAGTGGGACACGTGCCTCTATAACGAGGACATCCTCAATCACTGAACATGTGGTCACAAAGGTAGGCCGGCCACCCTCCAGGGGCAAAAGTGGAGGAGGTTCCTACACCAAATGGAGAGGACAGGTGGTCAATGAAGCCCCTCCCATCACCTTCAGATTCTATACATATGTTAAACAGAGAATCACAATTTAAAAAAAAAAAAATCTTACCCTTAATCGTGTAGTGGAGATCTCTGCTTTTAAAATATCGGGATCATATTTAGTACTGGATGAAGATCCTGAGAATACTTTTCGGAGAGAGAGAGAAAAAAAAAGTAACTTTTAGAAGTTGTATAACTTGCTCTCGGCTTGGAATTTACAAACTCTAAAAGCAAGATTTACATGCTTCTGTGGATACTTACTTTAGAATTCCTTTACTGTCATTCATCAGACACCTAAATATAAAAAGTAATCTTCAAACCTTTATCATTTTTTTTATAAAAACTCAAGAAAGAGGAATGTCATAAAGACCATGGAGCTTACTGTTCTCTGGATTTCATGCCTACGTATAAACTCTTCGAGGACCTGACAGCACATAGCACTTGTCAGAGCTGTGCGTTACCCAGAAACTTAGAGAACTTCTGAGCCCATCCAAACTGCTTCTTTAGACAAACCAGCTCCAGATGATCAGTTTCTGAGACATGAGAGGGTGATCAACAGAAACTTCATTCCAGCCAACAGTCCCACCACCCACCTCCCGCTAGAATATTGTACAAGAGTAGCAAAGGGGGCCAAATTATTTGCCTTGATCTGAACAGGTAAAAATTAACTCATCAATAAATAAAAGGCAATCAGGCAGAGGAAGGAGCAAAAACCAGAAGGGATTCATCCTCCACAAATGAGGGGGGTGGGGACTTCTGTCTGGAATGGAGTTGAGGGGTTTTGCTGAGAAGTCGGTGGGGTGCCCTCACCCCCTCTCGTGGCTTCTGGGAACTCTTTCTGCCTAGAAAGGAGCAGGACTCAAAATGAAACTCCTCTGAAACCCAAGTGGCCTTCTCTTAGCTACACTTCGGTCCCCATTTCCAGAGTCTGAGCAGTCATGCTATACTTACAGCTTGTGTGAGAACTTGACTTCTCCTTGTAGGCATCATTTAATCGTACGTATTCATCGAGGGCCAAAGCGAGTCTTTGCTCTTTCACGTGGTACAGCTCCTTCTGCGTCCTGAGAGCATCCTGAGCCACTGAGAGATAGTCCTTGAGCATCTTCTCCTGCTCCCCCCTCCACTGTTTTCGCGGATCTTCAATCTGTGTGGTTTCTGAAAATACATTAGGTGGGTTATTCTTTAGAATTTAAGGATTTTTTTTTTTTTGGATGATTTAAGCTTTGAAAAAAAAAGTGGCTAGCTTTGATTCTTATCTCCTATAAGCAGTTCCTTAGTATTTATGAAGTGACCTCTCCAGAAATCTGATACAGTTTTTGCTTGATTTTACCCAGTGGCTAGGCCACATCATCCACCCCCTTTCAGATCCTTGTTAACAATTTATCCTCACTGTGAAGCCATAGTACACAAAGTTGCCAAAGCAAGCTTCCTTAGCCGGGATCCGGCCATTCGTCTCAAGAATTCTCTGGCTCCCCAATACCTAGAGAATAAAAACCAAATGATTTATGCCAGCATTCAAGGTCCTGTGTGATCTGAACCCAATTCACTTCCCATGGCACATGTTTCCCTTTACTTAATACAGGATACTCTTGCCCTGTTGCCCTCGACATCAGCACCACTCAACGTCTCTGCTGGTCGACCACACAAGTCCCAAACTCTGTTACATGTCCACCACAACCAGTACAGAAATCACGAGATAACACTTTGAAATGTTCATAGCAATTTTATACAGTTATTGCATATTGTTGACTCTACTAATATTTGGGCTCACATTTTATCCCTTTTTCCCATTTCTCAAGTAATTCATTTTTATTGAATTTTACAAAAATATCAGTCAGTCCATAGTGGATTTGAACATTAAAAACAAACCAAAAACTAAAAAAACGAACCAAACCCTAGTCCTGGTTGGAGAATACTCTAAGGCACAGTTCTTGGTTCTGCCCAGAGAGCTCTTAAGAAAAAAAAAAAAAATCCCAGCCCAATGAGAAGAACCCACGCAATGGTAGGCTTAAAGGTTGCACAGGAGACTGCAATGAGCCCTCCTCTGCAATGGCTCACAAGCTGCCTTCTCCATGAAATTATTCAAACTATCCAATCCTGAGCTTGCTCAAACTTGCCTACCCGGCCTCGCCCATTCCTCCAACAGAGGCTCTGGCCTGCAATCTCTCCTTCGCTCCTGCCTCCCGACAGACCTAGCAGCTTCCCACTGTGGCCCAGCGAGGGTGGTGCACCCCTTCTCTTAGGAACTGGGAGTAATACAACTTCCTTTGATGGGTGCTGACCGCTTCGTGCTGCCGTTCTGTCACCTCTATAAATTAAATCACTTACTATCAAAACAGTTGGGTCATATGTGGTTGGCCACTGTATGAATATGAGAACCTGCTCCTGGTAAATTAGGACAGGAAAATTAATTTATTTATAAATTTGCTGGAATGTCCAGGGACATACACTGTGTTTAAAATGTTTTTGCATGTGAATCTCAGTCTTAATGTCCATGTTTCTGGTTGGCCCCAAAGGCTGCAACCTTTGTTGTAGGGTTTTAAGTCAAAACCCAGACAATGATATGAGGTGATCTGATGTGGACACAAGAATCTTTAGGGGCCAGGCTGATTCTGAAAATGTCTAACTACCCTGGTCTCTAAGGGTAAGGGATAACACTAAACTGAGGTGGCTCGGGCTGGGAAGCCTGGGTCCCCTCAGGGCTTAGAGAGGTCCTGAGTGATTAACAAAAATGGCCTGGGTCAGCCAGACACACTGGAACCACTGCCTCAGGCCAGGAACCCTCACTTCACAGCCACTGGGAACAAAAGTTGAGCTTCCTCTACCGTAGTATTTTGAACGCTCATTTTTAAAGATGTATTTCAACACACAAAAGAGGCATATCTCATGTAATTATGAGAAAAAAATATGCTTGGAGTCAATGCCTAAAGAGATGCAGGAGGGAACAATCCTGATCGGACAGCCCCTCCAGCCTTGATGGACATCAGCACAGTGGGGCAGCCTCCCCATCTGGAGAATAAGGAGAATGGGCAGATAACAGCCAATAAGAGCCGAAACTTCGCAGTTTAAGATATTCATTATAACTCAGGTCTCTAGCTATACAAACATGTAATATTTATATTCATTTCCAACATATAACTGCAAGCTGACTCAAAGTACAGAACTCATCCTCTACCAAATGGAAATTTGTGGTCTTAAAAAAGTTTTCCTAAATGTGGCTGACCTGCAGTAATCCTCACCTCCTCGTATTCTTGCCCCATGAATATGGGCTAGACCTATGATCTGCTTCCAATGAGTACACGAGAGAGGACATGAGGGTAGGACCTGGGACTAGATTACCAAAGGCTATGGCTGCCACCTTGTGCGTGCCCTCCCTCCCTGGCGCTTCTTGGCGTTCTTGCTATAATGAAGCCAACTGCCATGCTGTAAGCTGGCCTATGGAGAGGCCCATGTAGCAAAGAATGAGGGGGCCTCTGGCCCGCAGCCAACAGGGAACTGAATCCTGCCAACCACCACCTGAGTGAGCGTGAAAGCGGATCCTTCTCCAGTTGTGCCTGGCTACCACCTTGAGGACAGCCAGCCTGTGAGACCGTGAGCTAGAAGATTTCACTGAGCCTTGCTTGGATTCATGACACACAGGAACCAGGAGGTAATAAATGTATTTTGAGCCACTAAGTTTTGAGATAATATGTTATAGTGAGATACAGAACTAATAAACTAGACAACCAAAGGGATACTACAAACGCAAAATGCGTATGAAAAATGTGAAAAATTTATAAGTTATAACAGAGTAAGGTATGTACTCCTAGTTTTCTCGCAATACCTTCAGAAGTGTCATCCAATCATCTTTTCCCTACATATTGGGGGAACTGGCATACTTTCCACAAGATACCTGTTCAACAGTTAAATTGCCACAAAACACTGAAAGTAACACAGACTGACAATGTAATGAATAAAGTATAATAATAATAATAATAATAATAATAATAATAATAATAAACGATCAGCACTGGAGCGCCTGGGTGGCTCAGTTGGTTAAGCAGCCCAGGGTCCTGGGATCAAGCCCCGTGTCAGGCTCCCGGCTCAGTGGGGAGTCTGCTTCTCTCTCTGCCTCTCCTCCTTGCTCATGCTCTCTCTCTCAAATAAATAAATAAAATTTCTTAAAATCTTAAAAAACAGGGGCGCCTGGGTGGCTCAGTCGTTTAGCGTCTGCCTTCGGCTCAGGTCATGATCCCAGGGCCCCGGAATCGAGCCCCGCATGGGGCTCCCCGCTCTGCGGGAAGCCTGCTTCTCCCTCTGCCACTCCCCCTGCTTGTGTTCCCTCTCTCGCTGTGTCTCTGTCAAATAAATAAATAAAATCTTAAAAAAAAAAAAATCTTTGAAAACAAAACAAAACAAAAACCGATCAGCATTTATTTGGATAGATCAGCAGAAACACTCTGGTAGGCTGGTTTAAATACTGTATGCTACAAGAGCTTCAGTGGGAACGTTTACATTTCCGAAATGCTGTACAATGCAAATGTGAGCTACAAAAGAGGGTTCCCACAGGCACCTCAGAAGAAGGCTTCACAAAGCAGGATTGTGCTTCACCTCCTTCGGCTCTATTTGCTGAATGGATTTGTAAAGAATATTTATTAAATGTAAATACTAAAAAAATATTATAAAAATGTGGTATTTTTGTATTAAGACCTGGTGACCTTGGGAAATCATTGTATTAGAAAGCAATATAATTCGCATGATGTCTGTGGCAACGTCCCATACCTGAAGGGGATTTGCACTCCATCAGTTTCAGATGTGGAGCTTTATAGACAGAGAACAGGTTGTGAGTTACAAGAGCTTATCATGGCAGATGACATTAGATTCTTGGAAAGAGTATGATCCCTGTCTGTCATGCCTATTTCTGTTCTTTCTGCTGTGCTCTGGAAGAACAGGTGACACAAGTATGAATAACTGTCCTTCTCTTTCTTCTTAGAAACCACCTGCTGAGCTTATTATCTGTTGTTACTTCCACAGACAAGTACTGACCATCTACTACATGCAATATAGGTGAAACGATGTGAGGCCCTCCTTCCAAGGAACTTACAAAATATAGAAGAAATTGTGACACACGAATTAAAAAAAAAACACACACAATGAGTTTGTCCAGTAAAAAGTGATTAAAAGCTTTGAGAGGAGGAAGGCTACGAGCTTGCATTTTAGACACGCGGTTTTCTCTGACTGAAAAAGGAAGGTTCCATGCAACAGGCAGTGATGGAACAAGGCTCTGAAAGGTTCCAGACAATGGCCCCTCAGGACACAGCCCTTTACTTTTCCAGCCACCCCCCAGGCCCCCACAAACACACACACCAGGCTTCAGCAGCACCGAATTTCTTCCTTCCATCAAGCCCTGCTTTCTGTGGCCTCTCTAGACCTTTGGCTTTAACTTGTGATCTCTCTTCTTCTGAGAAGGTATCTTCCCAACCCCCAAGCCCAACCCCAGCCCCTTTTTCTCCAGGCCTGGCTAACTAGGTCCTTCTTTGGGTATCAGCTCAAAGCACTGTCTCTAGCAGCCACGGCTACACCCTTCAGAATGGAGAGGGTACTTCTACTTGTTCTCACTTGTTCTGCCAGCCCAACAGCGGTTCTTCCCACACTCGGCTATGTTGTCTCATTTCTTTCCCACTACTACTCCAAGAGGGACTAGCCTGCGGTTTCTTGAACACCAGGTTAATAAATATGAAACTCATTTTGTAAGCGATGGTGTGTCACAAAGGTTCTAGGCAAGGCCAGGAAAGGATCTTAGCTGTATTTGAGGAATATTATCTGACAGAAATGTGAGGTTCTACTGTCTCTACAGAACTCGACTAAGTCTCCAAAAGAGTCAATATGATTGTGCAGAAAATTTTTTAATAAAAGATTATATGTTAAGCGAAAAAAGTTTATAAAACCATACATATAATCCCACTTGAGATATAAAAAATTTTGTAGAGAAAAATATTTGAAACTCTGTGTGTGTGTGTGTGTGCATGTGTATCAATATGAAGAAGTCTGGAAGGATACACACTAAGAGATTTAGAAATACTTAGTTCTCTTTGGGTTGTGTGAATATGGATATTTTTTCTTCCTTTTACTTATCTGTATTTTCTACTTTTTTCCTATACACTTGCATTACTTTT